GAATGAATAATATTAATAATCGGGGCAAAGTATATTTTTAATTATTTTTTCTATAATCTTGACGAACTTTTCTAAGATGTAACAACGTATCAGTTGGAAATATAACATGTTTTCATATCCATTTCCATGTCTTTCAGAAAGTTTGATATACTTATAATCCATGCATTAAAAATGAATGCAGTATAAACTAACAAGCGAGCGTTGCAAACATTCAAACTCCATTAGTGATGAAACTGTCCATAAATGTTCATTGCCTCATCTTCAGAATTGTAGTATTCCATTACTATTACTTTTCCACTTTAGTACAAGAAAAATAATCATGAAATAATTTCTGCTTCAAAAGATAAAGTAAGATTCACGCTCATAGAAGGTTAAAGAAGGAACTATCTCTTATAAGAGAGGTACATTTCGTTCACGCGTATATCTTCCAAATTATAAAAGATATTGAAAATGCTTTAACTAAATATCGTACTAATCGTAGATGCCAGTAAATTGCTAGAAAGAAAGTTAACAAGAATTCTTCTTTTTCAAAAGTTTAGTTTAGGATAATTTTGATTGAAACATTTTTTCTGTTAATTTACTAATTTTTAGACACGGAACAACTTCTATTTGCAAAGTTTGTCAATATCTTGTGTTCTTAAAGATACAGACACGAATAAAGTGAGTGACCCTGATACTAGAGATGTCTCTTCCCCTTTAAATCGAGAACTAGCGTCAACCAAAACACGACGTAGGACTTAATTTTGGCCAACATTTGTGCAAATGTTCATTAAAATTGGTATTAAACGGTCGGCGATATTCCTTTATCGATCAAAGTTTGAACGTTACCGTTAAATTGGTTGGTATTCACCGGTCGACGGTCAGGGCTCTGATTCTCTTAGCAGCGGTGAAAAAAACGTAAATTATGTTTTGACCTAAATAGGTCTGCGGGACGAAGGTAACGACGGGTAATTAGAATCGACGGTGGGAACGTGGATATCAGTTGGAACAGTTTGTAATGGAGATTAATCGATTTCGGGGCAGCCGGCACGGTGTCATTCCCGCGGCACCCTCAGAAGTCTCGTCGTCCGAGATGCTCCATATTCGGTCGAAATTATTCTCACCCTTCCGTCCGATCGTGGGTAAAGGGGAGGAGAATCTAGTAAGGGCGGCGGAGAAAAGAGAGCAACGCGTCGAACCGCGCCATAGCGCTAAGTAAAGCGTGCCAAAAAAAGCGCGAGTCAAAGCGAAGCTGAGCGAAAATCGGACGAAGGGGGCAGGGCGGGGGAGTAGATGAAGAGGGACGGGCGGTGGGAATAAGGTGTATCAGGGCGAGGCAACAAACGGGCCTCGCGGAGGTGGTGAAAGAGAGGGCGCCTGCGGGTAGTTCGAGGGAATTGTAGCGAGCTATGACGTCACTAGGAGCGTCATAGAGCCACCCCTTCCACCCTCGATCAATGACGCGACCTTGCTGCCTTTCTGCACCCTCCTCGATCCTCCGCGACCCACGATTCTCTACGTGGCCCCTCCGGGCTGAACCAAACCGACCCAGCACTCAAAGGGGCGGCGGCTGTTTCTGCAACCTGGCAACCCTGTCTATATTTAGCATCCATTCCATTCCCCACCAGGGATTTCTTCGTCACACTCTCTCTCCCTGGTCTACTATTTCCCGCATAGAATTGTCATCCCTTCTCCGCTCCTAGTTTCGTCTTTGTTGCTCGCCATCATCCGCGTACCTCTTTCTCCGTCACCGTTTCAGCTATCTCGATCCTTTTTACTCCCTCTGCCTCGTTCTTCGCGTTCTTCTCCACAGACAGAGTCTCTTTTCCGCTTCGTCGCTCTCTGTTATTCCCCCGTTTCGTTCTCTCTCTCTCTATCTCTATCTCGCGCGCGCGCGTTCTCGCGGCCCAGCAGCCTGTTTCTCTCGCTGGACGATATAAACAAACGTTCCGCGCACGCGTCGACTGCCAGAGGAGGCGGCTCGAACGACGCCCGATCAACAGACACGACGAAAGAGAGGCTCGGGTTACACACGTAACCGAGTCCTCCCGTTCGCCAGCAGCTGCCAGAAATATACTCGAACGAGAAATTTTGCATAGGTTTCGCCTGCATTGACAGAAACCGTGTTGACGTTCTCCGCGAGGTAACTTTCTCGTCCCTCTCGAGCGAAAGGTCGCGTTCCATCCGAGACGAACGATCCAACCGCGCCACCGAACCTCCTTTTGTTTATGGTCCTATCGGGAGAGATACGTGGATTTTACGACACGACCTCTATCTAGATGTAGATAAGACGAGAAACGATTCGTTCTGAACGACTGGGGTATCGATAAACCGGCGTAATGCCCCTGAATGATCGTGTCAGGTCAATAGACAGATCGCCTGAATTTGCTGCGAAACGTCCCTGCCATTCAATCATATGTCCACTGTTAGGCTTTTCGATCGAATGTCATTCCATTGTGATTGTTAAGACTTACGTCAACCGAGCTGGTTTAATTTTAATTCATGCTATTTTGAGCTAAATTTGAAATAAACACAATCTAATACATGGTTAAATCGACGACTTGCTTTATGATGATCATGATTTGCAAGATTCGTAATTGGAAGCTGACCCTTGTTGAGAATAGTCAAAACGTTCCAGCGAATTGTTTAAGAATAACATTTTTATTAAATGTAACATTTTGAATTCTTTTGTCGATCATTTTCAGAGGTTTATAAGATCATATACATATAAGTAATACACTTTCAGATTGTATTAGGTACCTTTTTGTACGCGAATTCAAAAAGAACCTGACATTATTGATAACCTTAAATAACAAGTGAAAAGAATCGACGTTAGGCTTTTTTACGTTATTATTTTCCATGTCTGAATTTTTCATGGTTACACGCGACATAACCCTTTTGTTGAATTTGATTTTTCAATGTATATATGTATAATGTTTTAAAATATATACGTTTAGGCATATTCTCTATAATAATTCTTCTCTGTTTGATGTTATGCTATCTTTTGTGCAAGATCTAACGTAGAGGTCATGTTTCTATTTCATTACTAATTATATTAGATCTTACAAAATTACTTTTTTACAATATGATATATATTTTGTTATTCTAATTTAATTAGAAAAATTTCAGTACTTAAAAAGGACTATTATATTATAAAATCTGCAAATTTTGTACATATGGATTATAAGTTTAAAATGTTTTATATCTTTTAATTAGCAGTACAAGTATAAGAGATATTTAAAAATAACTTTGTATTATTTATATCGCTGCATGTTCAACGAGACAATTTGTAAGTTAAACATTTTTATATGCACTTCTAATGATTCTCCAATACAATTTACAAATGATCTTATATCTGTCTCAAAAGGATCTACAAGGAGAATAGAAACGTTACACGTAATACAGTTGTATGTTTGAACCATTTACTAAAAATTATCTTGCTCATACACTTTCTAGTAATAATAAGCAAGCTTTATTAAAACATTTTCAAACTCAGATTTTGAATCCATTTCAATAAACATACAAAATAGAAATTCATCTTTCCTTTAAACAGGATATTCCAAGTTTTAACAGCCAAACTATCTCCTTAAATCCTATGGATATACACAGGGTGTTCCAGCATCAATGGTACAACCGAGGAGAGGGTAATTCTACATGAAATAACAAATCGAAAATAAAGAATAAAATTTTTCATTTGAAGCTTTATTGTCGAGAAAATCGGCTTGGTTCTCGGTACAAGTAGAAACAACGATAATGATCAGACGCATCAGGCAAATCGTATTCAATCGCATGTGTACTCTGTGAATATTCAAAGTTGATTTTCACGACAACAAAGCATCCAATGATGCTTTTTCATGCAGAATCATCCCCTTTTCGGTTGTACCACCGATGCTGAGACACCCTGTATAATGTAGAAGTAGATCATCGATATTTATATTTAGTATGTTTATTCAAGCTGTGTTTACTATCCGTGGATGACAAATGTAGCACTCTAGATGGAACTAATACAGAAAAAGGTAGGATTATGAAATAGAATAGGAATATGAAAACACTAAGGTTTTAAGCTACAAGCTAACATTCTTGGAATTTCTACATATTCTCCGCCAAAATACGCGTTGGTTGCATTTTGAAACATTAAAATCCTCCAATCTCATCGTGTTCCGATACGAGGTTGGTTTCGTATCTCGCGATCGCGTCGTGATATCCCGCACGGTGGTGCCCGTCTTCGAGATGGTAAGTCTCGAAGATACCTTCGATCTTGGTAAACGGTTAGTCGCGACGCGTTGTTTCAAGGAATTAACCTGGAAACAATGTTTCTAAGTTGTTACACAGCATGAACGTTAATGCTGACTAGCCGTACGTTAAGCCTTCGGTCCGAATGCTTGACTCGAAGGGGAAAAGTCGAAACGTTAAACGAATGAAAAAGGTACTCGAAGTGAACCGTGTGTCTAGAATAGCAGTGGAGATGTAAGTGCCTCGAATCGCTGATGGAAAGTGATTAGTCGGCGTTGTTCGAACTTCCTCGCGGCGTTGGAAGTATGGGGAAACACTATGATTGGTGATTTTTGGAAATCAAAAAACCCAATCAACGTGCCCCCTTAGGCATTGCCACCACCCTCTATGCGCCCTTGGCGCGCCTTCTTCTAGGAGAGAGTGGGGCGATACCTGGTTGTACGCGAATGTTTCGAAATCCGACAATGTCGCGGCTTTCCTCTGGGTTTTTCCGCTCGAAGGTCGAAGTCCCGTTTTCGACGTACCCTTCGGAAGACCGAGTTTATGACCGGCTGAGCTATTGAGAACGAAATGAACGTGAAATTCTAAGTTGATTATACGAAAAGTTAAATGATTATTGTCGGCAATGGAATAAAATGTCTTTTCTCAAAAATAGCTTTACGTCGCGGACCTATCATAAACTGACAACGAAATATTCGCGTATTGTGTTCCTTCGGACGGAACATGCTCCCCCCGTTGAGCGAACGTATCGCTCAAGATTCGATTGGGTCTGTTGGTAAGAGGCCTGGTTATCGTTGGGGAGGTTCCTCGTTTGGAATTGGGAGCAGCGCCAGCTGCTTCACGTTGCGTCGGTAGGTGCACTGGTTGGTCCGGACGGTGACTGCTCGGATGATGTTGTCCGCTCCTGGATGCACCTTCTCGACTCGTCCGAGATGCCATTGTAGCGGTGGAAAATGATCATCTTTTAAGATGATCAGGGATCCTTCCTTGATCTCGTGCGAACCCTTGATCCACCTTGTTCGCACGTTCAGCTGGTGGATATACTCCTTGTGCCATCTGGTCCAGAAGTCCTGCTTGACCTTCTGAATGTGTTGCCAATTTGACAACCGATTGCTGGGAAGATTGCTGAAATCGGTCTCGGGTATGCTCGTTAAAGAAGTGCCAATCAAGAAATGAGCAGGAGTTAACGCGGAGGGATCGTTGGGATCAGATGACAGAGGAGTTAATGGACGGGAGTTTAAAATTGCCTCGACTTCGATCGCGAATGTGTTGAACTGTTCGAATGTGAATAGTTCGTCTCCGACCACCCGTTTTACGTGGTGTTTAAAAGATTTGACTGCGGCTTCCCACAGTCCACCGAAATTAGGGGAAAGAGCCGGTATGAAATGCCACGAAACTTCCTTGTCCGCGAGGAAGCGTTGCACCCTTTCGTCTTTCTCTAGCGTTTGATGTACTTCGGCCATCTCGTTGCTGGCGCCTACGAAGTTGGTGCCATTGTCCGAATATATGTTCCGGCAGATTCCTCTTCGCGCGACGAAACGTTTTAAAGCCGCGATGAAGGCTTCGGTGGTCATATCACCAACGACCTCGAGATGAACGGCCTTTGTCGCGAAGCATATAAAAACGGCCACATAAATTTTAAGGCGATTGCGGTTTCGAAATCGTTTTTCTTTGATGTGGAACGGTCCGCAATAATCGACGCCGCAATTGTAGAATGGTCGACATTCGGAGACGCGTGGCGCAGGTAAGGCGCCCATCAGATAATGCACAACCGGAGGGTTTATGCGGAGGCACCTGACACATTGACGAATTATTCGTTTGACCCTGTTTTTGCCGTCAATGGGCCAGTATTGTTGTCGTACGTTCGCCAGCGTAGTGTTGATACCTGAGTGGTGTCCCTCCACGTGGGCTTGACGCAATATCAAATCGGTAATATAATTGTTTTTTGGAAGCAGGATCGGATGCTTCTGGTCGAATGGCACGGTTGCGTTTTGTAGCCGACCGCCGACGCGAAGTAGTCCCTTGTCGTCCAGAAAAGGGTGCAATGGCAGAAGACGGCTCTTCGTATGTAATGACCTGCCGGTTTTGAGATCGCGGATTTCTTGATCGAAGGAGGAGGCTTAAACGATCCTCAAAATCTGTTCGTTGGCGTAGTGGATTTCTTCGGCAGATAGTGTTCCTTCTCGACGAGAACCTTTCTTGAATCGGAGACAATATGTGACGATTCTTCGCAATTTGGCGATGTTTGAATACCGATTCAAGATTTCTTCGCTGCGAACGATTGTGGTCGCGAAACATGCGCGCGAACGGGTTTCCGGAACCTCTGATGTGATGATGAATCGTGACTTGGGCCAATCCGCGACGTTGTTGGCGAGCCATGCTGGTCCGTGACGCCAGAGAGAATCGTTTAAAAATTCTGCAGATGACTGTCCTCGTGATATCAGATCCGCTGGATTGTCTCCTGATTGGACATGATGCCACACTGCGATGTCCGTTTTCTGTTGGATTTCGGACACTCGATTTGCTACGAACGTTTTTAGCGTGCATGGCTCTTTCCTCAGCCAGCTCAGGACCACTGTCGAATCGGTCCATAACCTCACGGAATCGAAATTGAATGCGTTGATTTCATGAATGGTCGAAACCAACGACGCGAGGAGTACGGCTCCGCACAGCTCTAATCTTGCGAGGCTGACGACCTTCAAGGGGGCGACGCGAGACTTTGCGCATAACAACTTCGTTTTAATATGACCGAGTTCGTCGATTGACCGGACGTATAGGCATGCTCCATATGCTCGCTCGCTTGCGTCGCAGAATCCGTGCAATTCTACGGCGTGCATAGCGCGTTGACAGACATGTCGCTCGAATGATGTCCGATTTAGCAGTGGCAACTCCTTGACGTAGGTGGTCCATTCGGTGTGGATGCTGGCTGGTAAGGATTCGTCCCAGGCCAATTGCAGTTGCCATAGTTGCTGCATCAGTTGCTTCGCAGTCGTAATAACAGGTACCAGCAGACCTAAAGGATCGAATATCTTCGCGATGGTGGACAAGATTGTTCGCTTCGTTACTCTTGTCTCGATATTCGGATCCACCGAGTAGGTGATGTGGTCGTCGCGCGCGTGCCACGAGACGCCGAGAGTCTTAACCGTTGCGTCTCCGAAATATTTGGTGTGTATTTGGGCTTCCGGAAGTCCTGTTAGAAGTCGTGGTTCGTTTGAAGCCCACTGCCGAATGTGCAATCCACCTAATTTAAGAAGCCTGATTGTTTGTTTCCGTAGATTTATTGCTTCTGTGTAAGTGTCCGCTCCGGTCAACAAATCGTCTACGTATAGGTCGTGCTGCAGAACGGTTGCCGCGACTGGAGCCTCAACTCTTTCGTCGTCCGCTAACTGTTGAATGCTCCTGATGGCGAGGAACGGTGCGGGAGATAATCCGAACGTGACGGTGTTAAGTTCGTAGGTTTTTATCTTGTCGTCGTTGTCTCGCCACAATATTCGCTGGTACCGACGATCTTCGGGTCTTATGAGAAATTGACGATACATTTTCTCGATGTCTCCGGTCAAGACATGTGTGTGCGATCGAAACCTGACTAGGAGTGCGAAGATGTCGTCTTGAATCGTCGGTCCAGTTAAAAGCGTGTCGTTTAATGATAATCCGGTGCTGGACCTTGCGGATCCGTCGAAAACGACACGAATCTTGGTCGTCGTGCTGGTCGGTTTTATGACTGCGTGGTGGGGCAAGTAGAAACCCTCCGTGCCGCGAGGTTCTACTTCACTCATGTGACCTAGGTCCAGATATTCTTTTATGACGTCTGAATATTCACGTTTTAATTCTGGATCTCGCTGGAATCTGCGTTCGAGGGGAAAAAGGCGGTTCAAGGCGCGCGATCGAGATTCGCCGAGTTGCTGCTCGAAATGCTGCTCGCATTGTCGCTCCTCGAAGGAAAGGTGTCGTGTTTCGGGAACCTCTTCCAACTCCCAAAACCTTTGAAGGTCAAAGGTTGGGGTGGTAAGAAGTGTTCGCTGTTTATTACGCGTGGCAGTTGTTGATACGTTCCCCCCGATGATCCATCCAAATTGTGTTTTTTGGAGGACCAGATCAGGTCCATTGCGAGGAGAGAGTCGATGTTGGCCGATGCTGAGCGAGGACAACGTAGGACCCGTGCCGATTAACATATCCACCTGTGCCGGTTGGTGGAATTGTGGGTCTGCGAGCTTGATGTTCGCCGGTATCGTAATTCGAGAACGATCGATCTGCTCGTCCGGGATTGGTCCGGCGATGCGTGGAATCGTAAAGAACGTTAATTCCCGCTGATAATTAGAGTGTCGCGATTTGATTGTGGTTGAGACCAGTTTATTCGCGATTGTGTTCAACTGGTTCGACGCTTCAATCGTCGTTGTATTTTCTTTCGCTGGAAGCCGTAATCTCGTTGCCAGGTCGTCGGTAATGAAATTCGCGGTCGAACACGTGTCTATCAGGGTCCGACATTCGATCGGTTTTCGATCGCGATCTAATACTTGTATGATCGCGGTAGCCATTAGTTCGGTGGTCGTTTCGTCGATCGCGAAGTTGGCGGCCCTCGAAAGATCGGGCTTTCTGACGGTCGATCGTAGTCAGGATTCGGTTTCCGGATGCTGATCCTGGTGCAGCTTCGTGTTATGCCGCTGGTTACACACACGGCATCTTCCGGCCTTGCAATCTTCCGTGTGGTGGTCCGGTTGCAAGCAATTGAGACACAAATGTGCCATGCGAGCGGCTTCAACGCGACGCGGTACCGTTGCATCTAAGAACCGCGGACACTGGTATACAGCGTGTGATCCCTCGCACACGGGGCATTTTGCGTCGGCGTATCCCGTTCGTTTCGGCCCCAGCGGCGGCGTTGATCGGCGTTGAACGCGAGGAGACGATGAAGGGGTTGAACGTCGTTGCGAACGAGGAGATGACGGCGGCGTCGACCGTCGTTGCGAATACGAAGATAATGGCGGCGTCGGAGTGTTTCGCGCAGTGTTTGTCAAATAAACTTGACGTTTTGGCATTGGTGGCTGCGTTCGCGGATAACCGGTTGGATTGCGCGTCGGGGTCGCTCGCGGTCTGTTCACAGCGTCGCTGTATGTGGTCGAGCGTTTGTTATCCGTTCCGTACTCCTTCGACTGGTGCGACGCGTTGTGAAGGAACTTGAAGAGGTCGTCAATTTTTGATACCTCCGTGTCCGATGTGGTGCGCTCCCACGATCTTCTCGTTTCGGTCCCCATCTTCGCGATCAGAATACTCGCCATTAGATCGTTCGCGATATCGTTTGGAGATCGACCGAGTGCTTGCAACGAGCGGATGTGCAGTTGCATGTGATTCGCGAGATCGCGTATCGACTCTGATGAATCGTCTGGCATCGCGGGGGTGTCGCGTAGGAGCGTGGCGTGACATAACACGAGCGCGCGTTTATTATCGTAAATTTCTATCAGATGTTTCCACGCGGCTTCGTAGTTGTCTTCGGTGATGCTGAAAGCTCCGATCGCGGTTTCAGCCTTTCCGGACAATGAGAGTCGTAAATAATGTAACTTTTGAATGTTACTCAACCCCGGTTGCGTATGAATTAATGTATGAAACGCGTCCTTGAACGTTATCCACGTTTCGATACGACCGTCGAATTTCGGTAGGTCGATTTTTGGTAAATTCACCGATAGCGCGTACGCGGAAGAAGAAGGGGTTGGCGAATTGCTGCTCGCGGGTGAAACCTGTGTAGCGCGTGCCTCTAACCTTTCAAGCAAAACGACCGCGGTGGCTATGACGTCGTCGAAGTGGTCTGTGGTTGTCTGCCGTTCTTCTTCCTCTTCTTCAAAATCTCCTACCGAGCTTAGTTCGTCTTGGATGCGGTTGAAGGTTTCAAACTGACTGCGTAACCTTCCGACACGATCCCGCAATTTCACGCGCTCCTTGGGGGAATCCGCGTATGTTTCTATCCAGTTTCCGAACTGTGTGATCTGGCTCTTAAAGGTCCGTCGCTTGATTTTCAGATCACGAATATGTGCGGACGCACTGCTGGACGCGTTCTCACTTCGAGATTCCATTTCGATGCGATACGAATTTAACGAGGTTCAAGGAAATATTTTATAGGTGGATGATTGGCAAATCTAAAGTACGAGCTTACCTTTAACTGGATCTCGCAATGGCTGGTTGAACCTGGACCGTCTGTTGTCCTTGATGGATGATTCCAGTTGGTGATGGCTGCTGCTTTTATCCGTAGAATTGCCGTTGACTGGATTCCGCGAGTGTTGTGCTCCGTTGCTCTCCCTTCTTCAGCACAATCACTGTTACACTTGGAATGTCTGTGTCACTTAGTGTTTCGTCAGAAGAGTCTATTGTCCACACGTCACTGGAATCCGGCTCGAAGGACCATGTTCCGATACGAGGTTGGTTTCGTATCTCGCGATCGCGTCGTAATATCCCGCACGATGGTGCCCGTCTTCGAGATGGTAAGTCTCGAAGATACCTTCGATCTTGGTAAACGGTTAGTCGCGACGCGTTGTTTCAAGGAATTAACCTGGAAACAATGTTTCTAAGTTGTTACACAGCATGAACGTTAATGCTGACTAGCCGTACGTTAAGCCTTCGGTCCGAATGCTTGACTCGAAGGGGAAAAGTCGAAACGTTAAACGAATGAAAAAGGTACTCGAAGTGAACCGTGTGTCTAGAATAGCAGTGGAGATGTAAGTGCCTCGAATCGCTGATGGAAAGTGATTAGTCGGCGTTGTTCGAACTTCCTCGCGGCGTTGGAAGTATGGGGAAACACTATGATTGGTGATTTTTGGAAATCAAAAAACCCAATCAACGTGCCCCCTTAGGCATTGCCACCACCCTCTATGCGCCCTTGGCGCGCCTTCTTCTAGGAGAGAGTGGGGCGATACCTGGTTGTACGCGAATGTTTCGAAATCCGACAATGTCGCGGCTTTCCTCTGGGTTTTTCCGCTCGAAGGTCGAAGCCCCTTTTTCAAACGTACCCTTCGGTAGACCGAGTTTATGACCGGCTGAGCTATTGAGAACGAAATGAACGTGAAATTCTAAGTTGATTATACGAAAAGTTAAATAATTATTGCCGGCAATGGAATAAAATGTCTTTTCTCAAAAATAGCTTTACGTCGCGGACCTATCATAAACTGACAACGAAATATTCGCGTATTGTGTTCCTTCGGACGGAACACATCGGGAGGTATGATTTTTTAAACATACGCATGAAATTACAGTAGAACGTCAAAACGATGGTCAGGCATGTTGGTAATGAATTTTTCCACGAAAGTACATAGGATTTCGAGGGTATGTTTATTCACCAAAAATGCTTGTAATTGACTCCCGCAACGAAAAATAATTTTTCCATAAAGATTTGAAATTTTTTTTTCGCCGAAAAATTTCAGCACCTACTCGAATTTTTTTCTCGAAACTGCGTAGGATTTCTGGGGTATGTATATTAACTAAAAATGATTGTAATTGGCCCTCGCAACGAAAATAATTTTTCATTTTCCCTACTTCATTTAAAAATATTCTCTGTTTTTAAGAATATAAGATTGACAGCGATTAAAAATTAAATTTATTATTATAGGAAGTTCATTATAAATAAAGTTCGTTATTGCTCCAATTTATTATTAATACCTCCTGTCGGGGCGTAAATTTATCCTTGTAAGATTCGCCGTGTCGCGTATTAGAAAAGAATGTACATGCAGGGATAATTGTAAATCTGACCCTACAAACATAGCAATTAGATAGTTAAAAATTTGTCCCACCATGTTTTTAAAGCCTCATGGAGATTCGTGACTTTTATCCAGATTTATTGAATTTAACATCTCACCTTTAAAATTAATTTTTTTTTCTAAATAATATTATGGATAATAAATACTCGCTTCTTTAAATCAATCACTATATAATTCAGATAAAATACTATTAAACATCAATGAATAAATTGAAAAAACAATATAATACAATAATTTTTTTAGCTTATTTAATATAGAAGTGTTTTTTTTTGCATAATTAAATTTAAATTTAAATTTATAATTATGAAAAATTAAATTTTGTTTTCTATCTAAGACTATATACGTAATCCCCCCTTTTAAGGGAACTGGACCGTCATGTTTTTTCCAAATAAAACCTCCATTGTGAATTAATTTCAGCGAAATAAGAGGAAGTCCAAACTTTACTTTTTAAACAACGTTTACTTGTAGCTTAAGAAATAAGAAAATGCTTTTATAATTGTATATATTGTTAAAAATGACGGTGCACACGGTTAATTAAGGGGTTATTTTTAAGAAGTACTTTTCATTTTGCAATGATAATTGAAATAAATAAAACATCTTCTTTTTTCAATGATAAATGGAATTTCACGGTTCTTTAGTTGCGGGTTTCTAAAATAGTCGTTTTTAATATATTTATTTTTGACTATAAAACCAATAAGATTTCTTAAAAATGACACATTAATCAACGATGTGTAGTTCCATTTTTAACACACACACATAAAATTAAAAGAACAATTTCTTTCTCTTCAAAATATAAACAAACATTGTGTAAAAGAAATGGTGTGGGCTTAAATTTGTTTTAATGGAATTAATTTCTAAAAAAAACTATATTTCAGTAGAATTCTATTGCCTAGTCCCTTTAATACCATGTTACTAAGATTCGTGATAAAGCTATTTTTAAAGTCAATATCTATAACTTTCTCCATTTTACACATTCTTGCTAATATTATAGTACTTTTCAATTTATAAATTATTTAGTGTCTTGTTTCTGCAATTTGCCTAATATGATTCTGCTTTAATAATATTATTAGGTATAAACGCATTGACTGTAATTTACATGCTAAATTGTGACGTTCAGAAATAGTTTCAATCGTTATAGAAGAATGTTTCAACACTAGGAGGAATATTCTGCAAGGGCGTATTATGTTTGAATAATAGGATCTTCGAATACCAGCGTGTTCCAATGGTAGAGCATTTCGGTAACGGAGTTTCGAGCAAAGAAGGCTATTGTCGTGTACGTCGCGACAACAGTGGTATGGTTGGCTCACGACGAAGAAGTATAAGCTGGTTGGTTTTTTAAATTATTTATTGCGTGAAGTGCGATTGAAGTCCACGGCGGGGAACTTTGACAATGGTTGTTTGGATCTTACTGATCTTCGGAATTTAGAAGTAATCTCTTTCGGATTTTTTAGAGTGCTCTCGGTCGTAGCTCGCGGGCTACCTTATATACCTAATTTTTGTGGGTGGAGACGCCGGAGTCGGAATAGAAAATTGGGAGTGGTTTATCAGGATTAACTAGTTGGGAAAAATGTAGGCTGGGACCTAGGAAAAGGAGTGGAGGTATGCATAGGGTTGTTTTGGAAAAGAAAAGTCGGTTAAGAAGACACCAGGGTAAGTGAAAACATGTGGGAAATATGGGTGGTCGAGCGGTGCCTCCAACCACCTAGCCGACGTCTGGCCTTGAGGGTACCACTTGCCCAGGCGACGAAAACTGCCTAATGAACAGACGAGCAAGTGGTTGGGCCCTAACACTTGGGCCTACCCTACGTATTTTATTGCGTCGCGACGGGACGCTCGAGGGTCTGCGACGCAACAGCTCTACTGTATTACTGTTGAAAGTTTGAGTACAACTATGTTGGATGCAATTTGCTGATGAATGCGAAATGGAGTGTGGGCCACTTTTAAAATCAACACAGCTCAATTAAAATTTTTGACTACGCAAACGAAAAAATAGAAGCTGAAAATTAACATTTGAAGATCAGCAATTATTCTTCTCGTTTCGGATATTTATATTGAGACCAATTAAATGAGCTATAATCACTCTAAGCTTTCGTCACTCTCCAGTAGTTTTTACTTAGAGATATCTCGAAGTATACAGTAATAAATATATAGACTATCATTATTGAACGTTCTATGAAAGTAGGAATGTAGCAATAACGAAAAATAATAATAAATTAGAAACGTAGGCGAAATTGATTTATCATAAACATCGTAAGCAATTTAAATGGTATAAAGTTTTCGATATCAACAATTGGATCTTATAAAGTACTAAAAAAAGAAACTAACAATTTGTACATAAAACTTTACATTAAGTTTTATGTTTTCATTTCAATATCTGATCCAATTTTTAGCATAGTCAGCCCCTGGATAATGATTCTTCTTGTAGTTTTTACAGGGTGTTCGGCCACCCCTGGGGAAAATTTTAATGAGAGATTCTAGAGGCCAAAATAAGACGAAAATCGAGAATACCAATTTGTTGATTGAGGCTTCGTTGAAAAGTTATTAACAAAATTATTAATCAAATTTGTCCACCTGCACGAATTTTTTCCTCGAAAGTGCGTAGAATTTTGGGGGTATGTCTATTGACCAAAAATAGTTGTAATTGACCCCCGTAACTGAAAATAATTTTTCCAGAACGATTTGAAGTTTTTTTTTTCGCCAAAAAATTTTCCGGTCGGTATGGAAATTTAAACGTTTTTAACTTTTTAACGAAGCCTCAATCAACAAATTGGTATTCTTGATTTTCGTCTTATTTTGGCCTCTAGAATCTCCCATTCAAATTTTTCCCAGAGGAGGCCGAACACCCTGAATATTACAAATATTTTTATGCCAGGAAAAATTTGTATAATGTTAACCGCAATACAATTGATAGGAATTAAAGATATTTATATGTTCTTATCTAATTTATATATCGAAGCGTGATTTAATACTAGAAATCCTGCAGTGGCACCAAAAGTTGTTTGATTACAAAAACATAGATTAAATCATTAATTCTGAGGAGCACACTTTCTAGGACATCTGTAATTTTTCTAACACAAAAAAGTGCCGCTCTACCATACTTTTAATAATTCTCTATCACCAGATACAGAGAGCGCATTATTAATAATTTAATAAATGACCAAATTGAAAATGTTTCAAAAAGAATTGTTATTAAAGGTGTACAAAATTATATAAATACCAAAATGACAAATTTTAAAACACAAAACATTACAAGATTTGTTAACAGATTTTTTACAAAAAGATCTCACAACTTGGGGAAACGATGAACCCTACAAAACCGAATTAAA